TTTTTTTTTTCTGCTTATGTGGTGCTAAGGAATGGAACCCAGGGCCCCATGCATGCAAGGCAAGCGCTCTACCACTGAGCCACCTTCTCAGCCCAAAACAAAGTATCTTTTTTTTTTTCCTTTTTTTTTTTTTTTTGGTTGGTTGTGGGGTTTGAACTCTGGACGCTGTCCCTTAGCTCTTCAGCTCAAGGCCAGCACTCTACCATTTGAGCCACAGCGCCACTTCCGGCTTTTTCTGCTTATGTGGTGCTGAGGAATTGAACCCAGGGCCTCATGCATGTAAGGCAAGCACTCTACCACTGAGCCACCTTCCCAGCCCTGTTGTTAATCTTTTATGGTTCCAGTACATCACAATATTTAATATTCTTTGCCAGTGAACACATGCTACAGGCAGATACACACACACACACACACACACACACACACACACACACACACACACACACACACACACACACACACACACACACACACACACACACAAATGGAAGAGAAATGGAAAAGAAATCACATTTATCATTTGAATTCTTAATATATATGGAAAATGAAAATGCTTTCAACCTTTGAATGGAGTCTTTGACCAGTGTAGCTGCTGTGCACCTTCTGTGCTCTCATTGCACTTACAGGGGTGGAAAGATTGTTTGTAAAAGATGGTGATATTTATTCCTCCAAATAAGCCATGAAATGCTTAAAAATGTCTTCATTATTTTGATAATACAAGCATCAAAAGAAGAAATAAGGATCGGCTGTAACCAATTAGAGATGTATTGGAAAAGTAGAATTGGTATTTTCACAATTGTGAAATTGTGCTTGGCAAACATGCCCATTAAGCGTTGGGATTTTTGTATTTAGATCTTAAAATTACTTAACTAAAATTTTGTTTTGTTTTGTTTTTACTCCAACTGTCGTTATCCTTCTATAACTTGTTTCTCAAGTAGTTAAAAATAAAGGTTAAAAATAAATGGTTAAGCTGGGCGCTGGTGGCTCACGCCTATAATCCTAGCTACTCTGGGGGCTAAGATCTGAGGATTACAGTTCAAAGCCAGCCAAGGCAGGAAAGTCCATGAAACTCTTATCTCCAGTAAACCACTCAGAAAACCGGATGTGGCTCTATGGCTCAAGTGTTTGAGCACTAGCCTTGAGCTAAAGATTAATTTTGTAATACTGAAGTTTGAACTAAGGCTTGCTCGGCAGGCACACTTCCAGTTAGGTTTTATTTTAAATGTTCCTGTACATAGAGTTATTAAGTACAGTTGAGAACTGTTAGGGAGTTACTCATTTTTCAAATTTTATGTTGTCAGACTATCTCCTCCTTCCTCAGCTCTTAAGCAGGAAGCAGAGTAGAAGTGCTATATACTAGATTATGATGAGTGTGCAGGCCTTTGGATGGAGTCTTTGACCACTGTAGCTACTGCGCACCCTCTGTGCTCTCATTGCACTCTCAGGGGTGGAAAAACCACTGTCTTTTGTAACTGTGCTTGGAAATTGTAAGTGGGAACTTAAACTACAGGACCATATACTGTTTCTGTGCCTCACCTAGGACAGAAGTTCTATAGGCTGAGTCCATCTGCCAAGATATGCGTAGTTATATATAACTGGTCTAATAAGTAAACTTTTCTAGATGGCTTTCCAGTAAACTCCAGCAGCACTCTTCTCTTAGTCCTTTTTACCATGTACACTCAAAAATATAAACATGGTTTATTCAAGCCACAAGACTTCTCATTCTCTTTATCCCTTTCATACCAACATTTAACCTCCTACCCAGATTATATCTGTATACTCTTTTTTGTAATTATTTTGCAACATAAAAGCCAGAGAGACACACTAAAGCTAGTTCTCCTTTCTGCCTTGCCACATCTCTCTTGTGGGATAACAGAGCTGTTGATCTTTAAAGGCAAATGGGGGAGGAAAAAGAAACTATCAGAACAAAACATTTAGGTAATCTTTCAAAAGTACTTTATCCCATTTTTCTATTATGCTTAATTTGAGTTTGTACTTTAGCATTTTTGTCAGTTTGTTACCTAGCTTCAGATAATTTACAGGCAATATTATGTACATACTTGCTTTTTGCTAAAATGAAAAAAAAAGACTGGTGGTGGGTCATTTTGTGTTGCCATGAAGTTTGGTAATTCTTAAAGTCATCCTCCAGTGTTTGCAGTCTTTCCTCATATCCTTTGGAAGTATAAACTATGTACCTTTTAGTAGTGGTATCTTAGTAAACTAAGGCAGTTTGAATGTGTCCCTTTATTGAAAATCATCTGCCTTAATAGAATTATTTGTGCAATTTTACTTTTTAATTTTTTGACAGGTATAGCAATCACATGGGTTAGCATTCAAAAAATGTACACAGTATACATAAAACAGGCTTCTTACTCCTATCCCACAACCATTCATTTCTTCTCTCCATAGGAGGACCAAGTTGTAATCCTTTAGAAAATTTTAATATGTTAGTAAAAATGTATATTGTTTTCTACACATAGAGCATAGACGTGTGTTTATACTACATTAATTTCCCCATTTTTTATACAAGTTTGAGGGCTCACCAGTATATCTTGGGTGAGGATCCTTCCATATCAGTATAAAAAGGACTTCTTTTTCTATTGTTACTATAAAGCTGATGTACAGAGAGGTTACAGTTATATGATTCAGGTAATTAATACATTTCTTTTGTCATCCCTTCCCTCAGACTCCTTATTTATATAGCTACCTAGCATTATACATCACATGGATGTGCTTAACTGCTCTCTATAGTAGTTGCCCTATCTGCAGTGTAGCTTTTGTGTATTCAGATGCCTGTTGGTCAGTGGCAGTTGGAAAATACTAAGTGGAAATTTCTAGAAATAATAGGTTTTAAATTGGGCATTGTTTCAGATCTTACATGATCCTGTTTCATACTACTAGGAGCATGAATCTTCCTTGTCCAGCTGTTATCTTGTCAGATCAGCTGTTGAGGTATTGTAGTCCTTGTGTTAAAGTAACAAGAAAGACCACATTCATATGTTATTTGTTATATTCTTACATTTTATGTTATTGTTCCTCTCTTCCTGTGCCCAATTTATAAATAAAGCTTTTATCATATTGTAAAAAATTGAATATATTCTTTAGTACTTTGAAGTTTCAGCCATTCATACAGCCTTTTTTTTTTTTTTTTGGTCCGGTCATAGGGCCTGAACTCTGGGCCTGGGCACTGTCCCTCAGCTCTTCAGCTCAAGGCTAGCGCTCTACCACTTGAGCCACAGCGCCACTTCCGGCTTTTTTCTTATGTGGTGCTGAGGAATCGAACCCAGGGCCTCAGGCATGCAAGGCAAGCGCTCTACCACTGAGCCACCTTCCCAGCCCCTCATACAGCCTTTTAGTTCATATCCCCCTCTTAGTACATAGCTGAACATTTAGATTTTTTTTTCCAGTCTTTAGATAATGCCATTTAAAATAATCTATTCATTTAATATATTTGGATATGTATAGGACATATATGTAAGTTTTGCTTCTGGATGAAAGGAAAAATTATGCATGATTTTAATAAATACTGCCAAAGGCTGGGAGGATGGCTCAAGTGATAGAACTCTCAAGCATGAGGCTCAGAGTTCAAACCCCAGTACCTCCATAAAAAGACAATACTACCAACCTGTGTTCCTTCACAGTTTACCAGTACACATACTTCCTCAACAACAGTTCATGAAAGGTTTGTTTATTCATAACATTAGCATTAAGTTAATACTAGAGATCTTGCTAGTTGTCCTATATGTATAAAATTTTTTGTTATATTGAGATTTTGGATTGCAAGGCTTTTTCTTACTGGTTTCTAAGAATTCTCAATTACAGAAAAAGTTCTCCTTGGTGATGTAAGCTGTAAATGAGAATTTAAATCATTTATCACTTGATTTTTGCTTTATAAACTTAATTGTGTGAGTACACCTCCATAGTTGAATTTATGTATGTTAATACGATTCATGATTCTAGTAAGTGTTTAAAAGAACATTTTAAATCAGAAACGATAAATGACTTTTACAATGACTCCTTCTATACCTCTATATTTTGCCTGCTGTTTTTGCATTTTTGAGGCAGTCTTTGCCCCATGTTGGCCTCAAATCTAAATTCTCTTGTCCTAGCCTCCCAAGTACTGATCATAAGCGGTGTACCATTATAACTAGTTTACTAATGTGGCTTAGAATTTATCATGTTACATATAGTGTAGGATATGTATCTAACCCTTTTTCCTTAGTGATCACTTTATGAATCTTATCTTTTGAGGGGAAGAAGCTATTGCTAAGGATTCAATCTAGGGCCTCATATATGTTAGGTAAATATTCCACTCAGCTATATCCCCAGCTCCTAGTAACCTTTTTTTTACTTGGGCCTTTTAAATTTTGTATTCTGGTAGATGAAATGAATTAATTTATGAAAGAATTTTGAAAACTTGATAATAAAATAAAGCTATATTCCTACAAAAAGAGTTGCCACTGACCTTGGAGTTAGATTTGCAACAAGAATAGGCTACTATTTAATGTCCTGTAACAGGTTCCCAACTCATTGGTAATCTAGAATCTCAATTTATTGAGATCTAACTTTTTTTATGTACTGAACTAAGCTGTTTATAATTTTTGTAGGAAATCTGTAGAGAAGATACTCCAAAATCATTTTTGTGTCAAAATGTCATTGTGTGGAATGAAAGGAAACAGTACTAAGATGTAGCAAGCTAATCATAAAGTTAAATAAAAATAACATTAACCTCTTAACAAAAATATTTAACTATTTTTCCTGTAGTTGAATTTTGTCAAACCTACAGTATTAGTTATGTCTTTCTATGCATTATAATTTAATTAAAATATTATGATTTCTAATTGAGCTTTAGTAATTAATTAAGTTCAAATCTCTTGTAAAAATAACAGGCACATATAATTCCAAAGACTAGAAGTATACATCATCTCCTTAACAAAAAGGTATATGTTTTAAGTAGTTTTGATTTTAACTATTTTCTCCTTTTCTCTTTTCCCATTAAGGGTTTTGGACTCTGCTCATAATATCCCTAACTGCTGGATTCTCCTGTTGCAGTTTTTCTTGGACAGTAACTTATTTTGATTCTTTTGAACCAGGAATGTTTCCTCCTACTCCTCTCTCACCTGCCAGGTTCAAGTAAGTGATGATGTGTCTTGTTTGGTTTTTGTTTTTTGATTTTTCTAAAATTCACTCCAACACTGTTGATATGCCAAAATAGCTAGAAGAGGCTGTTTATTTGTAAAATATGTTGTGGCTTCTCTGTTCTTTATAAAAATCCAAGTAGTGTAAGATTTTACAGTTTGTGGTTTCCAACTGTAGATGAATGGAGAATATTTTCAGTTCCATATTTATATAATCTAATTTTTTAGATCATATAATCTAAAATAATTATCAAAAAACCCAAAATTTTGTGGCCATTTGTCCTTTTTGGATGAAATTTGATTTAAAACAGTTTAAAAAAGGCAAAAGTAATGCTAGAGTTTAAAAGTTAAACTACTTCTATATGTAAATATGTTTGACTTACAAGAGAAAATGTAATAATTGGATTTTTTCTCAGGATTTAAACTTTGAGTGATAATTAGCAAGATCTATGACCATCAACTTAATCTAAATTTATCTAAATCAGATAGGAAGTTTCTTATAGTGGAACTGAGCAAAATTTCTTGGGTCTATGTTTTCTGTGTTTCTAAGAATTTAAGAAAAGCTGAGAAGATACGATCTAATCAAGTTTATTCATCCCAAATAGGCTCCAGTTTTAAATAGTAATTTCCAAATAAGAATTTAAAAGCTCTAATTTTTTACAAGTAGGAGTTAAGAGGAGGTTGGTGAAGAGTAGAAAATAAATTCTATGATACGTTTATTTTAGTTTTTATGTTTTTTTTTCTTTTTTTTTATTGTGAAAATACTGTACAGAGGGGTTACAATTACATGGGCAAGATGAGTACATTTCTTATCAAGCATTGTAGCCTCCTCCTTTGTTTCCCCTTCCCATCCCTTCCCATCCTCCCTCCACCCTCCCCCCCCTCCACCAAAGTTGTAAAGTTTGTTTTCAACATAACAACATGTACATCTCATTGTTGCAATGGGTCCAACTGTATCCCTATTTAAATGATTTGTTTTTTCCCTTCCCCTCCACAAATTATACCAACATCAAATACAGTGAAAGCAGGGGTTATACCGTGGGGGAGGGACATACAAAGCAACAAAGAAATAATCTTATAAATGTGTTAGAAACAATCCTGTAAAACATTTGAATACATATCTTAGGGTTCATTTCCCTAACATCACCTTATCTGACCTTTTCTGCTTGACTCAGACATATACTAGTTATTGCAAATAAGGGAAACCATGGGACCTATGTTTCTTTGGGCTTGGCTTACTTCACTTAACGTAATTTTTTCCAGGTCTTTCCATTTCCTGGCAAGGCAATGTCATTCTTTCTGATGGAGGCATAGAATTCCATTGTGTATATATACCACATTTTTTTGATCCATTCATCCACTGAGGGGCATCTGGATTGGTTCCGTATCTTAGCTATAGTAAATAATGCTGCAATAAACATAGTTGTGCTGGTAGCTTTAGTGTGGTCTTGTTTGTAAACATTTGGGTAAATGCCCAAAAGTGGGATTGCTGGGTCATAGGGGAGCTCTATGTGGAGTCTTTTGAGGAACCTCTATACTGCTCTCCAAAGTGGTTTAACAAGTTTACACTCCCACCAACAATGCAGTAGGATTCTCTTCTGTCCACATCCCCTCCAGCATCTGTTGTTATTAGAGTTCTTGATTATAACCATTCTAACTGGGGTGAAGTGGTATCTCAATGTTGTTTTGATTTGCATTTCTTTTATGGCTAGAGAGGTTGAGCATTTCTTCATGTGTCTATTGACCATCCTTTCCTCATCAGAGAAGTTTCTCTTTAAGTCTTTAGCCCACTTATTTATTGGGCAGTTGTTTCTTTGAAGATTTGTTGTTGGGGGATTTAATTTTTTGAGTTCCAGGTATATTTTACATATGAGACCCTTGTCCGTTGTATGGTTAGTGAAGATCTTCTCCCAATCCGTGGGCTTTCTATTGATCTTGCTAGCTATGTCCTTTGTCATGCAGAAACTCTGCAATTTCATGCAATGTCATTTGTCCAACCTTTCTTTGATTTGTTGTGTTTCTGGGTCTCTATTAAGAAAACTAGGGCCTGTGCCAAGGACACCTAGGGTTTCTCCTATACATAGTGAAGAAAGCTCTTTGGTGAATGTGGAAGTCTTGAAGACTATAGAATTTTTTTAAAGCATTCTACTTATAAAACCCTTCCTGAAATCCAGGTAAGAAATTGCTCAATAGCAGGAAATATAACTTGAATTCAGAAGGAAAGTAAGAGTAAGTAAATCAGATGGATTTTTTTCCCATGAAATAAGTCTATTATATGATACTCATACCCTCTATTAAAAAAAAAAAGTTATTGATGTTAGTAAAAAAATACGTATTTGAACTCTCTCAGAAAAATACACTCTCCACTCGAATGATAATCCATGTAGATTATGGAATGATATTCCACTGTTAAGTGTAGCTCCTAGTCAATTTATATTATTATTACTATTATTATTGTCAATTGTGGGGCTTGATCTCAGGGACTGGGCACTATCCTTGAGCTTTTTCACTCAAAGCTAAAACTCTACTACTTTGAGCCACAGAGCTACCTCAGGTTTTCTGGTGTTAATTAGAGATAAGAGTCTCAGGGACTTTCCTGCACCCAGCTGGCTTCAAACTGGGATCCTTACATCTCAGGCTCCTGAACAGCTAGGATTACAGGCAAGAGCCACTAGCCCCCAGCATTAATTTATATATCAGTGTATAGTCTCACAATTATGGTACTCCTCAAATAAATGTACTTACTTCAGCTTAACATGTAGGCTGAGCCAGTAGTAATAAGAGCAGTAACAACTAATATGTTTAAACATATCATATAAGGGCTTTCTTCACTATGTTTATCTCTTCACCAACATACAACATCTTTTACCCCTTAACTTGTCGTTGTCCCATCCTCTAAACTTTTTTTTTGGGGGGTCGGTTGTGGGGCTTGAACTCTGGGCTTGGGTGCTGTCCCTGCACTCTTCAGCTCAAGGCGAGCGCTCTACCGCTTGAGCCCACAGCACCACTTCAGGTTTTCTAGTGCTTTTTATTGGAGATGAGAGTCTCACGGACTTTCCTTGCCCAGGCTGGCTTTGAACCGTGATCCTCAGATCTCAGCCTCCTGAGTATCTAGGATTACAGGCGTGAGCCACTGGAGCCTGGCTCCACTAAACTTTGTTCATAAAATTTTCCCTATATGCTATTTTTGTTGAACTACATCTAGTCACAGCTCTGTCTTATTTAAGTCTTCAGTGACTTTCCCATTGCCTTTACTATAAAATTCTCAACTCCTATGTATAGCATCTGATCCCTTCCCCAAATGACCCTTTTTTCCTTTTTCCATTCTTGTTCTTTTCCCCAATGCATCACATAGTCTATTTATAGACTATATATTGGTATTACTCAAATTAACTATGTAATTTTGAGGTACTGCAGCTTAATTCTTGCCTTTCTCTCTTCTTGGAATGTCCTTTTCTCTCTTACCATATTGTTTATCACCCCAATTCATAAACCTCATAAAGGTTAAAGAGTTTTTGCCAAGGGGCATGGCTCTAGTGTTAGAACAACTGCCTACATTATTGTGTAAGGCCCTAGATTCAAACCCCAGTATTGCCAAGATAATTAAAAGGAGTTTTGCAAAGCAGAGAAAAGAATTTTTGGCAATTCTCTTAAAGATTTACTATTAACTAATAGTACTTTTATTAACTAATAATATTTTCTAAAAGTTATATTTATATTTTTATTGCACTATAACCACTAATAAAGGATCTCTATTTTAAGTGTGTTAATCGAGTTTTTAACATGACATTTTATCACATTACACATTTAGTAGATTATGTACTTGATAAATATATTTTTTCATTTGTAATACATATTTTTTTCATTTTTCATTTGTGAAATGCACAAATGAAATTGAGTTTTAAACTGAAAAGACTGCCCTCTAGTGTGTATAGAAAATACACAATTACTTCAGATACAACAGAATGAGTGTATAGTCTCTTTGTCACCAGTAGAGTGTGACCTTGTACAGGAAAATAACCTCTCCCCGTAAGAAAGTTGAAATCTTCAGATTTTATTTTAATAAAAATCAGGTTCATTATTTCCTTAATGTATAGCATCACATTTTTATAAACATATACCTTAAAGTACATTGTGTATTATGTCTTAAAATAAGTAATGATGCTAAAATAATATTTTTCCTGATTATATAAAGGTAGTTGTAACTGGGCACTGGTAGCTCATGCCTGTAATCCTACTTACTTAGGGGGCTGAGATCTAAGGATCATGATTCAAAGCTACCTGGGACAGAAAAGTCTGTGAAATCTGATTTCTAATTAACTACTAACAAGCTGGAAATAAAACTGTGCCTCAAGTGGTAGAACACTAGCCATGGGCAAAAAAGTTCAGAGATGCCCAGGCCCTGAGTTCAAGTTCCAGTACTGGCACACACCAAAAAATCACAGTTATGGTTCTTTCAAAACTCAAAAGAAAGGGAAATAATGGAACCAATAATCAGCGAAAATGACTTACCAAAATTTAGATATCATTATGCTTATATGGAAATTAGGCCACAGTATACATACTGTTTTGTTACAGAGTTTAAAAAAATACTGTGTCTGATTGGTTTGTTAAATAGTAGTCATTTGGATTGGCATTAACTCAATGGTAGAATGCTTGCCTAGCATTTACAAGGCCCTGTGTTCAGTCCTCAGTACCTTACATACATACACGCACACACACAAACACACACAAAAGTTCTTTGGTATATTTTTAGAATAAAGCATTTTTTAAAAAAAGCAGAATAGCTAATTGTAGGAAAAAGAATCAACAGGAATATATTTACAGTGGCTATGTACTGTTTTACTGAAACATAACATTTACTGAAATTAACATTTTCCCTAGTTTCAAACATTTAAGAAATCAGCCATTGGATCAATTATTATATTAGATTGAGGTTAGAAACAATCATTTTAAAAGCTATTTTCATATTTAATTTCTATATTTTTAATGCTA